AACATGCATAGGTTTTTGATGTCCTTACTTTGTCTGGGAACTTGGCCGCTCGCGCGTTGGATCTTGAATTTTGGAAATGAGGGCGCGGCCATGGTGGATTGGAAACTAGATTAGACCTTTAGCGGTCGCCGCGCGGCTTTCGGGCGTGACGCGCGTCGCCCGCGCGCGCATCAGCGCGCCTGCATGGCAGGCTCGTGCACAGTGGAAGCGCAGAAGTCGCCACCTTTGCGCGGGAACTCAAATCTTACATTCTCGCGCCCAAAAGTCTTTGAGAATTTCGCATGACGTTTTTGCGCCCCCTTTGTATGCACCGAGCGCGCAGGACGTGGGCGGTGCGCGCGCGGCGGTGTCTTCACTGGGTGGGAACGCATAAGTCGCCACGCTGTCATAATAACTAGCGTTTTGCATTGGCGCGCAAGAAAGCTATTGTTGATTTTCGCGCGTGCACTGGCTCGCACGGCCATCCTGTACATAGCCGTACAGACTCATCGAGCCATATTGCTTTGAAAGCTGAATGGTTCCATGTAGTGACTGTCGTCCGTTCCGATGCCAACTTAAGCGCGGTTTCCACATGTACACGAGGTGCCCAGTGCACAGAGGGCGCGCGTGGCGGCGCGTGCATGACAAGGTCTGCCTCGCAGGAATGAAGAAGTTCGGTTGTCTGGTAACCGAAGTACGCCTTTAACGAGCGCGGCCCCGACTCGCAACTTTAAGTGTGCGTGTGTGTTTTCGCAGTTTCGCCAAGAGAGGCACGGTGCAACGCGCTTGGCCGCGTTCCCATGGCAAGTGCTGCGTTGTCGGCGCGGTCAAGTTGCCAACTTGGCTTGGAAGCACAACCGGCGCCCAGGTTTGCGATCCTGGATGTCAGCTGGGCGCGAGGCGTTTTCAATCCTGCACGAGGAGCTACGCGCGCGCGGCGTCGACCGCGCAGCGAGGTCCGCGGCTCCCAAATCAAGAGTTCGCCTCGCGGGTCTGGGGACTGACATTGGCATTTGGCGCGCGTTCAATTCCCATTTTCGACTTAGCGCGCTGTTGTCCTAAGCCAACCGCGCGGCGAAATGCGCGACGCGCAGTCGCGCGCGCGCGGCGGCGCGCGCGCGGCGACTTCTGGGCGTCGCCGCGACGCGTTCAAGCCGCGCATCGCCTGGAAAACGCGCCGAAGATGCCGCGCGCCGCGCGGGTGGCCTCGAGCGCGCGGCCAATGGCAACGACAGCGCGAACTGCGTAGACGGCTTGGCGCGCGCGAAGGCACGGCGAGGCGCGCGCGCCGCGAGCGAGAGCACTCCCACGCTTCTTTTCTGGACCCATGGCGGCGCGATGGTTCGGTGTCCAGGAGCTGTGCTTCGGTCGCGCGCAGTCGAAAGCACGCCCCCGCATCGGGCCGCCGCGAGCGAGGCGGCCCCGTGGAAGGCGGGCTCGACTGGTTCGCCAGGGGGCGCGCGAGCTGGCTGGAGACCCCGTGTTGACGCCGGCCGAGGAGGCGCTGCGGGTCGCGCATACTCCGCTGGCGTGCAGCGCGCGAAGCGGAGGGGCGGCGGTGCAGTTGGCATCGCGCACGGGCGCGCGGCCTCGCGCGGCCTCCTGCGGCCTGTCGCGGCCAACGAGAGGGCGCGTTTGTCCGCGCGCGTTCGAACGCCCTGGACGGGGGAACCACAGGAGTCTCGAGAGGGCTTCGTCGCGCAACGCATAGGAGTAAAATGCATTTTCGTGGCGCCGGACATTCCGCGCACAGGAAAAAAAAGCTCCTCAGGACACTCGAGACACCTCGCGCGCCCAACTTTTTTTTTGAGGCCGAAACTGCGACGTCGCCATTTGGGCTCGAAACTGCGACGTACGTTTCATTTTTCCTCCGAAACTGCGACGTACGTTTCATTTTTCCTCCGAAACTGCGACGTCGAAGAAAAACAATGTCCACCTCGCTCGCCGAGACACTCATGCCCGGAAAACAAAAGTCCACCTCGCTCGCCGAGACACTCATGCCCGCAAAGGCAGAATGCGATTTCGAACGCGGGCACACTTTCGAGAAAACGCACAAGTCATTTTCGCGTCTACGCTTGCCGTGCTCGAGCATTAGGACGCACTTTAGAAAAAAAACCTCCGAGTGTCCGGGGGAGCCCTGACAGCTGTTTCCCCCCACAACCCGCCCTGCGGGGCGGGCGGCTGCGTCGAGCCACCGGGGGGGGGGGCGCGGGGGTCCGCGTGGGAACCGTACGGGTGGCTGCGGCCACCCGCAGCACCGCCTATGCGCGCCCGGGCGCGCCCTGGCGCATCTGCCGCGGGTGCCTGCCTGCGCCCGCCCACGCGGTCCGCGGGTGCCTGGTCGCGCCCGCCCGTGCATTGCGCGCGCGCGCGCCTGGCTGCGCGCGCCCGCAGGCCGCAAGTACCTGGCTGCACCCGCGCGCGCGGGCCGCGGGCGCTCGGCCGCGCCCGCCCGCGCGCGCCGCGGGAGCCATGGCGCGCCCGCCCGCGTGCATTACTGGCGGCGCAAAGCGAGGGCGTGCCCTCGCAGAGCGTGCAGCCTCGTCGATCCCGAGCTCCGGGAGCCCCTTGAGCTTCGGTCGGTTCAAAGCGTCGCAGGCCCCGAGCCTCGCGCGCCACGGGTGCCTGGCCGCGCGCGCCTGGGCCCCCGACCCACGCGCGCCGCGGTCTGCGGGGCTTGTGGGATAAGTGGGGGCCCGTGGGGCTTGTGCGACATGTGGGAACCGTGGGGCTTGTGCGACGTATAGGTCCCGTGGGGCTTGTGCGACCTGTGGGGCCTGTGGGGCCCATGCGGCTGCTTGTCGGGTTTGCGGGCCCGGTGCGACCTGCGGGAAACCGTGCGATTTGCCGGCCCCGGGTCCTCGCAGACCCTTGCGCCTAGGTTGGCCCAGCGCTTTCCAGACTTGCGCCATGGCCCCCTTGGTTGTTGGAGTTCACAAAATACCTGGGCTGGCACCGAGCCAAATGGCACCCTTGTAGGAGCATCTCGCGCTCCGCGCGAGATAAGAGCGCAACTAGTTCCAATTTGCAGGAATCGCTCGGCCGCGCGAAGGGAAGGGGGGGTCGCTGGCAAGTGATGCTCGCCAAAAAAATCGGCTGACGCCGAGAACAAGCTTCGCGCTCCTCGCGAGAGATGGCAGCGGATTGCATGTCGCCACGAACGTTCGGCTGCCGCCCATTCAAGGAGCCCCTGGCTGGTTGTTGGATACAGGAGAAAAAGGCGCTCGGCGTGCGCCGAGACAAGCAAGCAGCTTCGTTGTTGTAGTTAGAAAAAAATAGCTCGCGCTCCGCGCGAGGACGGAGGGCTGCGCATGGCAATTCGCAGCACTTCGCTCGGCCGACGCCGAGATAAATGGAGTCACATGTTGCGCGCGCTACCCCGCGAGGTGAGCAAATGTGCGCGGCGGCGCGAATGGCGACAGCGCTTTTTGCTGAGCAACCACGACGTGGACGGTGAAGACCTTCGGTCGCTGCGTGGCTCGCGATTGGGGCCTGCTCCATGCTGGCCATGCGCGAGCGGTCTTGTTGGGGTCAGGCCCAGGCCTGGTGCATTCCAGCCAAGCCATGCCTTGTATCGTCCTCGTAGTATGGCTTCCAAACCCAACTCTGATATACTGCTTGTGGTCAACCAGGGCACATAAGGCGTCAGGCAAGCTCATTGCACGGCGTTGTTGCGCGCCCCCGCAAGCCCGCTCGGTTGCGAGTGGCGTTCCTGGAAAAATGACGCGCGCAAGCGTTGCACCAGCCCGTTCCTTTGTTGGCCAGCTGGGCGGCGCTGACAGGCACCGCCAGGTCTTGCAACCTGCGCAGTTTGTGAACGTGCGCTGCGTTCGCGCGTGGCCGAGGAATCGCTCTCCCAGGATATCCGGTCTGACTTGGGGGAGGGTGGGGATGTGCATGTGCGTGGCGTTCGCTTTCACGCAGTATGCATGTGCATTGCATGTTGGTATCTTGCAGCGGGGGCATGCGTGTGTTCTGGGTTTGATGGCATGCCTGCATCTAGTCCTTACATGTCGGAGTTTCGCTTGCGTCGCAGCATGTGGTCTTGTACAAGTATAGCTGCTCGTGTCGCTAGGGGGCTCGGGCCGCGCAGATGTCCGATGCGCCCAAGACGTCCCCAAAGACGGCCGATATGACCTCAGGCGGCTCCAGGGGTCGCCTCGAGTCGCCCCGACGACGCGCCAGCGCGATTCCGATCGCGCCCTAGATGCCCCGATGCGCCCGGGAGCATGGGCAACGCATGGGAAGCAACATCAATGTGAAAAGCGATGGGGGGGGTCGGTGTACGAGTTGGCGCACGAACGACGCAGGGAAATTCGCACGCCTATTGCCGCGCGTGCGCAGCCCCGAAGTTCCCTGGCAAGCCGTTATGTGAGTGCGCTTGCTTTGAACGTAAGCCCGCTACCTCAGCCGTCCATTCATCGGTTATTGGCGGTTTGCGATTTGCGAATGTCCTCTGATATAATGAGTGGTAGCTGGGCCGAGATGCAAATCAATTGCGGCAAACGCTGCGTGCGGCAGGCCGTGGAAGCGAAATACAAGATTGCTCGTGAGCCAGCTCCTAAATTACCCCCCCAATAGCGCAGACCCCCAAGACAAAGCCAAAGCATGATACAATTGCCGAAGAAGAAGCGGCCGAATATCTCAGCTAGCATTTCGACGCTGCTTGGCACGCGCTGCGCAGGAGGCCCCTCCGAGCAACACCTTGGCAGTCTGGCCCAAGCGGGGCAACGCGAGACAGTCGGCTCTTTGCGACGGATCACTTCAAATATGGTTTCATTGTACACCATATCTTGATATCAGATGTTGGTCCTGACGTCGAGGAAAAAATCAGCATCATCAGCATTAGCATCATCAGCAGCAGCAGCATCCGCATCATCAGCATCAACTTCATCAGCAACATCACTATCACCATCAGCATCATCATCACCATCACCATCATCATAATAAACAGCATCATTATCGTCGTCGTCGTCATCGTCGTCATCGCTTTTCCCCTCCCTCCCCTTCGTTCCGAAGAGGCCTCGGAGCTCGACGAGGAAGAGCCCACGGGCAGCGAGGGCGGCGGCCCCCCAGACTGCGGCGCGGCAGCCACACCGGCCGACGCGCTCGCCCCGTGGCGGGTGGCCGGCCGCCGTCGCCGTCGTGCTCGTCGCCGTCGTCGGCAACATCGTCGTCGTCGACGTCAACGCCCAAACAATGTTCCAATAACCTTTTGTTACAAAGCTTTTGTGGTTCCCGCGAAATGTTCTTACAACGTTACTGGCAGAGTTGGTCTTGTTTGAACACACCGGGTTTGTGTTCTAAGAACATCGTTTTTGTTCTTAAGGCAGTTTTGGGTCCTAATAGCATTCCGTGGTAGGACTATAGGAATGCCGGGACGGTCGGTCCCTGCTCAAAACATCGTCGTCGTCGACGTCAACGTCCTTTACCCGTCCCTCGTTTTCCCCGTGTTGGGCCTCCTGGGAGGCCCTCGTCGCCACCGCTGGATTCGCCTCGAGATTCTGGCCATACGGCATCCCAGGAGAGGTCCGGGGAGTAGCGGTATCGGTACCTTTTGGTTCCCCGCTCGTCGTCGTCGTCGAGGGAGCCCAGAGGAGCAAGACGTCACGACAGTGATGCGTTCCGAGATGTCCACGAATTTGAGGAGACCCAGGACCCCCTATCGTGCCGCATGGGCTCCAGGAGACGCAGGCAGCTAGATGCTCCATAATTCTTGCAGTGTGTCTTGAGCCGGTCGCATCACAGCATCCTCGTGCGAGAGGATGGCGACGTCGTCGTCGTCGTCTTCCACGTCGTCGCTGTCGTCGTCGTCCACATTCGGGTAGGACGAGAGGTGGCATGGAACAAGGGGGGGCTTCACGATAGTTGCTGCGTGCAGCTGATCTCGGCCCTTTCGCTGGGCGCCTTCCTCGATACAGTGACGCCTCCAGAGACGGGAGGCGCCAGGAAAATCAGCTGAGTAAGCTGATTCGCTCCCTTTTCGGCCGACCTTATCGTCGACGACGAGGGGGAGGGTCGTCGTCGTCGTCGTCGCTGCCGCCGCCACTCTGTCGTCGTCGTCGTCGTCGTCGTCGTCGTCGTCATTGTTGTCGTCAGCGTCAGCGTCGTCGTCGTCTTCAATATTATCGTCGTCGACATCGTCAACGGCGTCGTCGTCAACATCGTCACCGCTGCGGACAATGTGCATTGTCCTATCCATTGCGTCTCAAATTTTCGGGCCCCATTCCCTATAGGCCCTAGCAACCAGAGACGAGGTGGGCATGGGTGAACATTTTGCTTAGCGAGGCCAGATTTGATCCATACCCACTGCGTCTCGGGGTGTTGGCATCCCTTCCCCAAACTGATTCACGACGCTATGGATCTGGATGTAGATGTTGCCAGCAGTAGTCGGCGACGAGGAGGGAGAGGTTGATGGCGGCATTGCCGCCGTCGTGAGCATCGGCTTCGTCGTCAACATCGTCGACGTCGTCGCCGTTGTCGTCGTCGTCAACATCGTCGTCGTCGATGTCCAGAGGAGGGCCAGTCGAGGCAACGGCGGCCTTCCCTGGCGGTGTTCGTGCTCCTCTGGGCCGCCTGAGGGCCTTTCGTCGCCACGGCTGGGTTCTAGCCTCGAAGAACGGGTCAGGAGCAACCCCGGGAGGCGTCCCCTTGGCATCGCTCGGACGTGTGCATTTTCCCTTCGGCGAGGACCATCGAGGAGCATCCTTGATCATTTGGCGAAAAAGCCACGCACGAGACCGAACAAAAAGCACACGGAATGGACGTCCGAGCGATGGCGAGAACCCCGGGAGGCGTCCCAGGACCGATGTTGGGCAGATTTGCGCCGGGCGGGAGAGCCGCCGTTGCCTGGATGTGTTGCTCTCCGAAGCGTAGTCGTGCGTCTTCGTCGCCAACGGCCAATGGCGGCGGCGCCGCCTTCGTCGCGGCAATCGTCGATGTCGTCAACGTCGTTGTCGCCGTCGTCGTGATCGTCGTCGCCGTCGTCAACGTCCAATGTCGTCGCCGTCGTCGTCATCCGTCTCCTTGGCTTCTGCGCCTTCAAGGCTCCCCCCCCTCGTCGCCATGGCTGGACGCGGTTCGGCAACCAGGCCCAGATGGACCCCTGCGGGGGTCGGCCGGCCGTCGTCGCTGCAGTCGCCGTCGTCGCTGCCATCGTCGAAGATATAGCGGTCGACGCGTTCGGTCTGATTGGGCCTCCAGGGGAGCTCTATGTTGGGCCTCCAGGGGAGCTCCTTGTTGGGCCTCCAGGGAAGATCCTTGACGTACTTCTCAGGGCACGCCCAAGCAGAGGTCCAGGGTCCAGGGGTCATCGTCAACGTCGTCGACGTTGTCCTCGTGTCGCCAACGTTGTCGTCGCCGCCGCCGTCATTTGTATGTAACGTGGTTGGTACCATCCTCCCCTCTGCGGGGGACCTGGGGTAGCTTCCACGACATAGTCCCACTTGTATGGTTTTGCTTCCCCTGAGGAACGGTTGGCAGACACACAGCGCTTGCATTATAGATCCGATGCAGGTATGGGACCAGGTGTTTGGTGGCTTTCCAGCAAGATTACACATATAATGGGCAGTCAGTTCCGTATTTTCATCCCCGCATCTCCAGCCTCACCCAGGGAGGAGAAAGGATTGAGTGAGGAGGAGAGGGATTGATGATTGAGGGAGGGGAAGTGCAGCAGGAAGAGATGAGAGATTGAGGGTGGAGAAAAAGGAGGGCGGAGGATGAAGAGAAATGGTGGACAGGACAGGAAGAGGGACAAAGGAAGGGGGACGAGGGATGAGGTGGGAGAGGACGGATGCGGAGGAGGAGGAGGAGTAGGAGCAGGAGGAGGAGGGACGGATATTGAGGAGAAGGTGGATGAGGCGAGAGGGAAAGGGAGGAAGAGGAGAGGAAATTATGAGGGTGGATGGGTCAGCAGGTTTGGGGAGAAGGAGAACAAGGTAGGTGGGGAGCAAGAGGATGAGGAAGCACAGCAGCAGGAGAAGGACCAGGCTATGCCCTCTCCCTCTGCCTTCCCTACCTCCCGCTTCCTCCTCCCCATCGTCCCCCCCTTCTTCCCCCTCCTGTCACGCCCCCCCCCCCCTCGGAGGAATTGGACGAGTGGGGACGGAGGACGAGGAGGAAGGAGGGACCAGGGGAGGAGCCCAGAGCGAGAGAGAGAGAGGGAGAGGGGGAGACAGAACGAGGGGTGGTGGAGTGTGGGCTGGAGGAGCGACAGCGAGGAGGATGCAGCGGAGGAGGCGGGGGAGGACCAGAGTACGGTCGGGCGGAGGCGTGAAGGTCGAGGTCCACCTTTCAGTAGGGGAAAAAACACAGACACAATTAGTCGTCGATTCCCAGGAAAATACGGGAAAATCTGAGAAATGGGGGGGAAGACAGAAACCCAGAACGTATGGGAGGCTATGGGGAATCTTTTTATTTGTGTGTATTTATTTGTGTGTCCTGGGGCCCCTTCAACCTTGATGTTCTTCGTGCTCGTTGGATGCTCTTGCGCATCCTGGGGGAGGGTACGCCGCAGCTCTGGTAGCAGACCGATCTGAAGCGTCTGGATATTTTAGACTAGCGCTTCTGATCGTTTCCGCACCGTAATTCCTCTACCTCATCGTCCCGAAGAGCTCTACGAGGTAGAACGGACCCCAGGTTACCACATTGTCCGCCCTGGCGGGCCTCGAACGTTCTTCAGTTTGGCCGGCGGAGGGTCTCGTGTTCCTGGAGGATGTTCTTCTATCCCAGGTCCGACCGCAGCGGAGGAGGCGCAGGAGGGCCAGAGTTATTTCCTTCGGCCCATCCCGCCATCGTGCCTGGGTTGTGGGTATGACGCCTCTTGGATGCTCATCGGGATCTCCTCAGGAGGCCTCTCGGGAGCCTCTTGGAGGCGGTTTGAAGGCTTCTTGGGGGCTGTTTTGGGACCTCTTTGGGGCCCCTTTTAGGTCTCTTGGGGGTCTCTTAGGTCCTCCTGCGCGCCTCTTGGGGTCTCCTGGGGGCCGCTTGGGGCGGGAGACTCGGATTTTCGGTTTGTGTTCCCTCTCTTAGGTCTCTTCTGGGGCCGTCTTAGGGCTCTATTGGGACGTCTTGCGCGCCTCTTTGGCCGTCTTGTGGCGCTCTTGGGCCGTCTAGGGGCCATCTTGGAGGCCTCTTGCACCGTTTTGGGATGGTCTTGGGGGCCTCTTGGGCCGCCTCACAGCCTCGGAAAGCCGAAAAGGCGAGAACGCCAACATCCCTCAACAATCTCGAGAACAATCAATGATTTGTGCCTCTTGGAGGCCTCTTGGGCGTCTTCCTCTTGGGCCATCTTGAGGCCCTCTTGGACCGTCTTGGGGGCCCTCGTGGGCCCGAGAAAGCCACGCCATGGGCCCGATAAAGTCACGCGACAATCCGCGACGGGTCCCAAGGGGGACGCGGGAAGCCCCAGGAAAATCTTGGGAATATGGGCCCCGGCCTCTTAGGGACCCCACAGGACTGAGGACCGAGGCCCCAGGGATTGGGCAAAGGACATGATGACACGCCCACTCCGTGTCCAGAGGCACTGCGGCGGACGTGCGGGAGTCTCATGCGAGAACCCGAACATGAAGCCGTGCAGGCTTGCATCCGAGTAACGGGGGGGAGTTGCGATTACGAACGTGCGTTGCGCTCAGGCGAGGGCCATATTGTGAAGTCCTTACGGCCAGTGCCGTTGACTCCTCCCCCAGGGCGCTCTCCTAGGACCCCGGGGCCACGGCCACGGCCACGGCCACGGATGGGGCCGGCTGGGGTCGGGGCTGGGACCAGGGCCGGCCCCTGTGGGAGGAGTGTGCGTGTGCGTGTGCGTGTGCGTGTGCGTGTGCGTGTGCGTGTGCGTGTGCGTGTGCGTGTGTGTCCCAGGGCTCCTTTAAAAGAAAAGCTCCATTCCTCATCTGGCGCTCCCTGTGGCAGCAGTTTGCCTGCTGCTCGCCGGGGGGGACGAGGACGAGGTGAACTGCAAGCGGCGCCCGCAAGGGGGCGGCGCGAGGGGGTGGGCCTCCTGAGACGGCGGGGGGGCTCCTTAGAAGGCAGGGGCCGTCTTGTAGAAGTCGCTGGCCGCCTCTAAGACTGCCTCCCAGGAGACGGGAGAGCTCATTTTGGAGCCGCCTGCCTTCCTGGCCCGCCTCCTTCGAACGCCGCCCCCCTCGCGGGGTCCACTTCGATCCGATCGATCCGATCGACATCTATTCCGACATTCCGACCCGACGTGGACGACGCGAATCGGTTCCGACCCTACGCCGCCCGATCCGACGCACGTCCAGTTCGATCCGATCTCCCGATTCGGTGCCGACGGATGTTGCCCTCGCGCCGGCCCCTCGTGGGCGGCCGCCGAGCGAAAGAGGGAGCGTCCAGTGTCTTGGCATCACTCGGACGCGGGCGTGTTTTTGGCGTGGCCAGCGCCAGAAAATCTGGACCATGCAGGAGCATCTGGCATCACCTGGGACAGAACAGTGCGCAGGAAAGTAACGGGTACACTGGGAAGGGACGTCCGAGCGATGGCAAGGTGGGCCGAGAAGCTAGGATGCAAATCCTGGGAGGTTGCATACAGCATTGGCGCTGGTACAGCCGTAGTGGGCATAATCCCACTTAATCTGATTTGATCTGGCTTGATTGGGCTCAATCCCAGGCATAGTCCTGGCTTGATCCGGCTCAATGGTTCCTTGACATCTCTCCATAGTCCATGATCGTTATGACGAAGACCTCCCCAGCACTGACCTTGTGGGCGGCGACAAAGCGAAGAAGAGAGCGTCAAGTGGGCGACAACGACTGTGAACGACGTCGTCGATGCCGGCGACGACGGGGACGGCAGAAGCGACATCAGAGCTGACGACGCCGACGAATACGCCGACGCAGACGACGACGACGACGACGACGACGACGACGACGACGACGATGGCGGCTGCGGCGGCGGCGGCGACCGCGAGGACGTCAGCGGCGCGGCGGCGGCGGCGGCGGCGAGGTGGCGGCCGCCTCGCGGCTGAACGCGGCGGCGCCGCCGTGGGTGCCGGAGGCCCGCGAGGCCCCGCGCCGTCGCCGCTCGCCGAGATCGTGGCGGCGCAATGTCTTCAGAGCGGACGCTCGGCATCGCTCGGACGTGTGAATTTTTCCTTCGGCGAGGACCATCGAGGAACATCCTTGACCATTTAGCGAAAAAACACGCACGAAACCGAAAAACAACGGGTGTTGCCCTTCTTCGGGTCAACGGCACCGTAACGGGTATTGTCTAACGGGCACTTTGAAAATTGCCGAAAGTTGCCACTTTAGGGCCTTTTTTCTGGCAGTGCAGCGTTGCCCACATCGGGGAGGGTTGGGTTCGCTGGGTCACTGGGCAAAGTACCCGTTAGTGGAGTCCCCGTTTGAGGGGCGCTGATCGAGCATGCGGCGGGAAGACAGGTGGGGTCCAGGGCTAGGGCCGAGATGCTTCCTTACGAGGCTGCAGTTTGTCGGTGCCGACGGAGCTGGAGATCGTCGCCGTCGCCGTCGTCGATTGCCGTCGCCGTCCTCGCCGCCCGTCCTCCTTTGCCGCCGTCGCGTGGAACCTGCCCAGGTGTTTCCTCTTGCTGCTCCGCCGGACACGGGGAGGGCGGTCTGGCCCCTGGCATCGCTCGGCCGTGTGCATTTTTCCCTCGGCGAGGGCCATCGAGGAGCATCCCTGATCATCTGGCGACAAAGCCACGCATGACATCGAAAGAAGCACGGGGGACGGACGTCCGAGCGGTGGCCAGCGGCGGTGGGCGGCGGTGACTGCCTCCGCCGCAGGCCTCCCAGGAGGCCAGGCAGCGCGAGCGCCGGGGCCGCGGCCAGGACCGAAGCCCCCCCCGGGGGCAGCGGCAAGCTCCTCCTCCTCCTCTTCCTCCTCCTCCTCTTCCTCCTCCTCTTCCTCCTCCTCCTCCTGATCCTCCTCTTTTTCCTCCTCCTCCTCATCCTCATCCTCATCCTCTCTCCTCCTCTCTCCTCCTCTCTCCTCCTCAGCAGGGGCAGCGGCAGGAGGGGCGATCATCGCCGATCGTCGGGGAACGAACAATGACATACAGTGGGGGCGCGCAGCAAGAAACCATCTGCTCTGCGTCAGGGTACCCTGGGTTTCCTCGCTCCGCGCGCTGCGCGGCGACTTCCCGCGGCCGTGGCAGAAGCTGCTGCGTTCGGGGTGCTCCGGGTTTCTCCTAAGGTGCACCTCGCGCGCGGGTTTTCAGGGGTTGGGTTTCTTGCGACGGTTTCTTGCGGCCGCGCCCGCACTGTAAACACAGGAACTCGGAGGACCGCGCGGATTTCTCGGATCCTTTCTGATCCGCCGGGGCGGGCGGAATCGAGGAGGGGGAAAGAAAGGATCGGAGGGAGGGGGAAGAGGCAGGCAGAGGGGGGCAGGGAAATGGAAAGAAGGTCGGGGAGGATGAGGCAGGGGGCGTGACAAAAAGCTGGGCGGAAAGGGGGATATGGGGGAGGGGAGGGGACGGGTGGGTGGGGGGGGGGGCAGGGGTTGCGGGATGGGGGGAGGGCCTCCGCCTCTTCCTGTTGCCCACTTCTCTCGCCCCAGCACGCGACAAGGTCGGTACCCCCACCCGTCGGGGGTCCTTCCTTCGCCACGCCAGAGGTGTGGAAGCCCCCCCGCTTCGTTCGCTCGTCCCGGCCAGAGGCTCTGACTGTTCGGGGGCGGCAAAGAGGGGGATGGATATCATGGCGTGGGCCATGGTATTGCGAAGGCCTTGCGGCCGTTGCCGCCGACCCTGAGGTCGGGGAGGAGGGCGCGGAGCATGGGGAGGAAGATGAAGAGGGGGACAGGAGGAAGAGGCGGATGAGGAGGAGTAGGAGCACAGGGGGGAATGAATAGGAGGAGAGTGAGGCGAGCAGGGTCGCGGGGGGGGACGAAGGAGGGGCAGGGGCGAGCAGGGCGTGGCGATCATGGGGAGGAGGAGCAGCAAGAGGAGCAGAGGAGCACGAGGTCCAGGAGCAGGAGCCGCAGGAGGTCCTGCATCCCCCTCCCGCCGCAGGAGGTGCAGAGGCCCTACAGCGGCACGAGGCCCTGGCTGGAGCGGGCCGGCCCACCTCCGCGCGGCGGCGAGGCGGCCCGCAAGGCCTGGCGCGATCGTCGTCCGCCGTGGCCGTCCGCCGTGCGCCGTCGTCCGCCTCGCGTCGCAAAGGCGCGTGCTTGGCATCGCTCGGACGTGTGCATTTTTCTTTCGGCGAGGACCATCGAGGAGCATCCTTGATCATTTGGCGAAAAAACCACGCACGAAACCGAAAAAAACACAGGGAATGGACGTCCGAGCGGTGGCTTCCCGCCCCGCGTCAAGGCGCGTGCGACGGGGGGGTGGGGCCGTGTTCAAACGACGCGAAGATCGGGACAAAATCGGATCGGGATAACTCGAAATCTCTGAGGATCGGCGGGCTTGGAGGGTGTATTGGGCGCCGTGGCCGCTCCAGAGCGTTCCGGGACGCTCTGAGAGCGCTCCGGAACGCTCTGGAGCGATTTATCCCGATCCTAGCCCTGTTTTACGTGTTCGGCTTCTGGGGGCCCTCGCCTGGCCCTGGGACCGCCAAGATCTGGACGCTTGAACTGGGTGCGGAAAGAATGGGCACGATGCCCAACAGCAGCTCATGCTCGTTTTGAACAGGGCTCGCTGTCCGCGCCGCCGCGGCCTGTGCCCATTTGAGACAGAAGGCCGCCTGCCCAGCAGCGGCCGCTGCTGGTTTGGGGCAACATGTGTTGTTGGGCATTGTACCCGTTCTTTCCGTACCCATTTCGGGCGTCCAAACAAGAAGCGACTCGACAGGGGTGGACCTGGAGGGTGTCTTGGCGGCTTCGAAGGCCGTTTACGTTTCGAATTCGTTTCGCAGCACATGCGGATGGAAGACAGCGAGGGAGCGAACACAAAACGAAAATTATAGGTCGAGCCGTGCGGCTCGGGATGAACATTGGAATCCCTTGCCCCGTTGTTGTGAGGCAGTTGTATCGGAGGGGGTACAGAGGGCAGAGTTCTTACACAGTTGGGAGGAATTCGTGAATTCAGTCTGGGTCGGGCTTGAAGCGACTCGAAGAAAGCGCGCACACCCCAACCGCAAGCGTATGGGGACATGTTGCTTCCCGTCGTCGTCCTCCCCCATGCTCCGTCCCCCTCATGTCCCCCCCCTGGATGATGTCGAAAGCGTCCGCGGCTCGGGCGGGAGAGCGCCCGTTCCCACCTCCCCCACTATTCCTCGTTCCTCTTGCTTCCCTGTTCCTCCGTCCGTCGTCCTACCTCGTCCTCCCTCATATGAAATCCCTGGTGCCGCGTGCCCGTGTCAACGAGATGCCGCCCGTTCGATATCCGAGCGCAGTGGCGCAACCAAACAGAGGGGATTGCCAATGCAAGCGTTCGGGGCGCACTCCAAGCGCGGGCGGCAACGGCCGCCAAACACAGTCGCATAGCTAACCTGCTAATGCATAGGTGGCTGCGACAAGGGCCGCTCCCTTGCCAGCGCAGGGCTCTGTATAGCGACGCGTGGAGCTTTGACTGTTAAAAGGCCCATGGCGTGTGACACCCCTCGTGTTTTCGGACTGCTGCGGGGCCTTTTGGGGGGTCCTTCGGGGCCTCGTCTTGGGGCCGTTGGGGGCCGCTTTGGTGCGGCATTTCACCGTGGCCGCCCTGGGTCAGGGAAGCGTGTATGTGCCGCCCCCTCGGGGCCGCCCTGGGCCAAGGAAGTGCGTATTCGCGCCCCCCCTTAGCTGGGCACGCCGGTCTCGGTTCTGGGTTGGCAAGGTCGGGGAGGCTCTCGAGGTGGCGTGTGTCCAGCCGTTGTGGAAACCCTTCAGGGAACACGTGGGGGAAGGAAGAGGAGGATGAGTTAAAGGCGGGACAACTAGACAGGGAAAAGGAGGAGGAGGAGGAGGAGGCCAATTGGGAACCACTCGGGGCATTCGTGTGGCCTTCTAGGAGTTTCCTGTGCGCCTCTTGGGGGTTTGTTGGGGGGGTCCGTGGGCTTCCTGCTGGCATTGGGAGGTTTTTTGGGAGCCTTTGTCCGTTCGTGTGCGCTCCTAGGCCCCACAGCGCCGTCGCAAGGCGTCTTGGGGGTATTTAGGGGCCCTGTTAAGGTGTGTTGCCGGGCCGTCTTGGAAGCTGTCTTGGACATCTTGGAGGCCTTTTGGGCCATCATGGGGCCCGTTGGGGGCTGTTTTCGGGACCGATTGGACCGTCCGGGGGCCATCTTGGAGGACTTTTCGGGGTATTTTGTTGCAATATTGGGTGCCTCTTGTGCCGTCGGAAGGCCGAACAAAAAACGAATGCCAAATTCGCTCCAAAACCCAAGGTGCCTTCATGATGTTGGCCTCTTCGGGCGCTTTAGGAGCACGTTTTGGAGGCCTAATGGGGTGTATGGGGCCGTTTTGGGCCATCTTGAGCTGCCTTGGTGAGACGGTGAGAGAGACAGAAAGGGGGAGAGAGAGAGAGAGAGAGAGAGAGACAAAAGCAGCGAGCGAGAGAGAAAAAGGAGGAGGAGGACGAGGAGGATGGGGATGAGGAGCAAGGAAAAGAGGGCCTCATCGTCCGCAACTGCACCGCAGTCGCTCCCACTCCTGCGCTTTTTTTTGCACCGTTCCGTCGCCCTCTCCGACCTGCGCTTTTCTTTGGATTCCTCATATTTTTCACCCCTCTCCTCATCATCCCGCCCTCTCGACTCCTTTCATCATCTGCCATCTCCCGTCCTACCCTCCCCGCCTGCTCATCCATGCCTCCTCCTCCTCCTCCTGCTCCTCCTCCTCCTCCTCCTCCTCCTCCTCCGCCTCCGCCTCCGCCTCCGCCTCTCCCCCCATCCCCAGCCTCCCTCTCCCAGCCTCCGGCTTCCCATCCTCCCCCCTTCGCCCTCTCTTTCCGCGCCCCTCCATCTTGCCCCATCTCTCTTCAACCTTCCCCTTCCATCATCCTTCCGCTGCGTACTCTTGCATTATGTTCCACCCCACCTCGTTCCTCGCATAGCCTCCCGCTTCCCTCCTCCGTTGTCCCCGCTCCCTTGTCCGTCCTCTCGCAACCCGTGCCTCCTCCAGTGTCCCTCGTTTCTCCGTGCTGCCCCACTGACTACCATCCTCTCTATTCGCTTCTTCATTTCCCCATTTTCCGAATACCGTATCCGTCCTTATCCCCCCGTTCCGTTCTTCGCTCTGAGCATTTGTCCCCGTCTCTCTCAAAGTATTGTCTCCTCCACCTTATTGCGCTCATGAATCAGATGTGCTAGTCACGTTAGTTGTTATAGTATTTCAGTATGTCCTTCAGTCACGCTCGATATGTAGATGAGGTATGATCGTTGTGCGTCGTAGTTGTGTGTGTGTGTCTGCCCCCTTCCGGCCACATATACGTACGGTGTTGGCGTGTGTTGTTGGTGCATGTTTCCAGTTCCTAGGATTGATGTGTGCGCGTGACGTCTGCGATTGGTAGCACCTTTTGGTGCATGTTCCACACGGAGTCTTTGGTATATGGTGGTTGCATTGGTTGGTGATGTCTGCTTTGACGTGTATGATCGGTGTTGGTTGGTGGCGTACGGTATTGATGTGTGCTGGTGGAAAAATATAGCTCGTATGCGTGGCATTGATATGTGGTCTGACGGTTCTCAGTGGTGTGCGTTGCTGGGGCATGTGTTGGGCGGATGCGGTCGTACGCGCTCTTGTGAGTGCTGTACTTCCCGATTGTGTACGATCCACGTCTGAGTGGGCGCAACCCACGGGGGGCAGCACACGGGGGGGGAGGGGGGGGCAACCCATGGGCAGCACAGGGGGGGGGGGGGGGGGGGCAACCCATGGGGGCGGCACTTGGTGGCGACACGTGGGGGCGACGCTTGGGGGCACCACGTGGGGGCGACCCGTTGGAGCAACATCTGGGGGCAACGCGTGCGGCAACACACCGATGCATCGGAGGAGGAAATTCTTTACGCTTCGCGTATCCCCACCAGCCCATCTCCCAGCAGCAACTCTTGCGAAGCATGCCGACAGTCGTGTTTTTCAGGCGTGTGTCCGCTTTGCCCCGCATATCTCCCCTGTTCCTCCTTCCTCCCGCCTCCTTGTACATCCTCCTTGTGGGGGGAGCGGGAGAAGGACGAGGCGGAGGAGGAGGGAGAGAAAGCGCTCCTCGTGATTTGAGTCGTTTGGGGTTTCTCGTCCTGGTGTGAGTCGTTCGGGCCCTTCTTCCTGGTGTGAGTCGTTCGGGCTCTTCGTGGTGTGAGTCGTTCGGGCTCTTCGTCCTGGTGTGAGTCGTTCGGGCTTCTCGTGGTGTGAGTTGTTCGGGCCCCTCATCCTGGTGTGAGTCGTTCGGGCCCCTCCTCCTGGTGTGACTCGTTCGGGCTCCTCGTGGTGTGAGTCGTTCGGGGCCCGCGTCGTGGTGTGAGTCGTTCGGGCTCCTCGTGGTGTGAGTCGTTCGGGCGCCTCGTCCTGGTGTGAGTCGTTCGGGCCCCTCCTTGTGGTGTGAGTCGTTCGGGCTCTTCGTGGTGTGAGTCGTTCGGGCCCCTCGTCCTGGTGTGAGTCGTTCGGGCTCCTCGTGGGGCCTCTTGGGGGCCTCTTGGAGCCTCTTGGGGCCTCTTGGGGGCCTCTTGGGGGCCTCTTGGGGGCCTCTTGGGGGCCTCTTGGGGCCTCTTGGGGCCTCTTGGGGGCCTCTTGGGGGCCTCATGGGGGCCTCTTGGGGCCTCTTGGGGGCCTCTTGGGGCGTCCCTCTTGGGGGCCTCTTGGGGGCCTCCTCTCGGGGGCCTCTTGGGGGCCTCTTGGGAGCCTCTCTAGGGGCCTCTGGGGGGCCTCTTGGGGGCCTCCTGGAGGCCTCTTGGGAGCCTCCTGGGGGCCTCTTGGGGCTATCTTGGGGTCTCTTGCGACCTCCTCAGAAGCGCTAATAAGCGCTGACCCCTGAGAAGGACAAAATGAGCCCAAAACCTTTCTGTAAAATCAATGATTCTGCTAAGAAGGAAGAGGAACGCGGCCCCCTCAGAAGGCAAACATGGGGCCAAAACCGTAGTAAAATCAATGTTTTTTACTTCGACGACGAGTTCAGGAACCAAACTCCCCCCCCCCCCCTCGGGGCCAGAATCCTCGTGAGGGTCGTCGTTTTTTGGCCCTCCCAGGAGTCGAAAAAGACCCCTCCAACGACCCGCGGGGCGCCCTCTCCAGGCCCAGGGGGAGGGGGTAGGGGGAGGGGTAAACCCCTCCCCGAAGGGGAAGAAGGGGGGTTGAGGACAGAGCGGGCTCTCTAAACCACTCACGCCCAAAGGGCTGGTGGGATTCGAGTTGCAGAAAGGGCGCGCGCTGGTGGAAGGGAGCGCACGCCCGACGCCTGCCACACGCCCTTCCGCCTAATTTGACTCTCCTTTCCTTCTCTCTGCCCTCTCCGGCCTTGTTCGCGTGCGCCTCTGGCCGAGGAAAAAATGGAAGAAACAAAAACAGGTTTAAAACATTTTCAGTACATGTTGCTTACATGTCAAGCACACTTTTCATTCACTTTTCATTCGAAGATCGGACTGTTAGGGTGCCCGTTGTCATGGCATCCTCAACCCTAGTTCCGATCCGCAAAGGGTGGGGTGCTGCGTACTATATGCTCTCAGTGTATGCTAGTGGCGTATGTCGCCCCAAGGCGTTTTTGACGGTTTCGGGCCCGGCCACGGTCCCGATTGGCTGAAGAATTTAAAGTTGGAAGCCAACAGCAAACCGTTGTGATGGCAAGTTTCGAGGGGGTCTGGGTCCGAGCGAGCTTCTTGCCCAGCAAGAGTCGGGGCCGCCCAAGAGGCGGATGATAACTCGGGGCGATAATATATATATATATATATATACACACATATATATATATATATATATATATATATAGATATACATACGTATACGTTCATGGCGAGGCACTCCCGACGACTACTACAGCTGGTGGAGGGAGGTCACGTACCACTGGAAGTGGCGATGCGCCAGGCTACTGCTGCTATGACGGTGGACCCCGTGAGGCGACGTGGCCAGAGGCGATTTTTGTTCAGGCTGCGCCTGCCCGCCCCGACAGGTGCCGCTCGACCTCCTCCTCCTCTCGCTCCTGGAAGAAAAACGACTGCCTTACGTTGGTCCCCCGTTTTTTTCTTTTCTGGCCATGGTGGTGCAGGGCAGCCCTTAAGTCCCCCACCACAGGGCGCTGCAGACTGCCTTTCGGACCCCCGCAGCACAGCAGCCCAACCCTTCATAGGCCCTCAGGGTACGGTTTGAATAACTTGATCGGTTCACACAAATGAGGAGATTGGCTTCAGCGGTCGCTACTCCTTTGTCTGCTCGTCGAGCTGACTGAACACTGCCCCTCAGAGATTGATGGGTTGATGGATACATACGCATACTTACTTACATACAGACATACATACATACACTTGAAAACATGCATATATCTATGTATATACCATGGCGGGGGCATGATAGATCCCAAGATATCAACGCCCCCGTTTTAGGCCGCGCACGTCAGGAGTCGGTGTGGCGATTTTGTTGGACACTTTCTTGTCGAGTTCGTTTTGCAGCAAAGGCGGAACGATGATAAAACGAGGGAACACGAAAAACGATCCTTGGCGTACGCGCCCCGGGTCATGATTTGCGAAACCCCCGCTGGACGCCCCGATCCTGGACGCTCCCGAGCGTCTGCGGGGCGGCCCTTTGCGCTCCCAGGATTTGGGGTCCCGTTTCGGGGCGAGTTTGCTCGTGGCAGCATGTTTCACTGCCTGCGCCCAGCGACGCTACTGCTGGCCACGCTAGCTTCGCCGGGCGATTTAAACGAAACGCAAACTTGTTTCCGGCACGGGAAAATCATGTGGAGCAGGCCCGCGCTCGCTCGCCTCATCCCCTCTCGTCCGCACGCGCGCCTCGGCTCCTGCCTCGCGGGCGCGCGGTCCTCGGCGCGCCGGCCCGCTGGTTCCAGAGCGGCGGGGATACGTCTCGGAGTGGCCCCCTGCATTTGCGCGCGGCTCCCGGGGCGAGCGTGTGCGCAGTTGTTTTCCGAGGCGCCGCGCTCGGAAACCCAGTTCGGGCGTCTCGGCATCTGGTCGCGCGTCGCGCCGCTCGGCTCATCGCGCCCCCGAATCCGCGAGCCCCCCGGCGCCAGTGGCACGGCGGCGCAACAGCGCGCCTCGTTTTTTGACCGCGGTCGTCGGCCGGGCCTGGGCCCCCTTGCTTCGGGGCCCCCTAAGGGCAACGACTGTTCGGCCGGGCTCCCTGCGAGGAGCCAATCGCAGGGCCGCTGACTTCTCGCGGGCAAACCCAAGGTCACTGCCTTTTCGCGGGTAAACCCAAGACTTTGAGGCTCCGCTTCCGGGTCGCTCCGCCCTCGGCCCCGTGCTTTCTCGCGGGCCCACCGCGCCCGTGTGGCTTATCGCTCTCGGGCCGTTGCCTTCTCGCGGGCTGGCCCGAGCCTTCCGGGCCCCCCGCTCGGACCGCCGCCTCCTCGCGGGCAGGCCCGGGGCCCCTGCCTCCACGCCGGGCCCCCAGCGAGGTGCCGCAGTTTTTTTCTTCAGCGCGCCTTCGTCAATCTTACAGCGCGCCTGGCGAGTCGACGAGGCACTGCGTTTGCAACCAGCAGGGCCGCCTCCTCCGCGGCGTCTGCGCCCTGCCTTCCGCGGGCGAAGCGGGGGCGGCCCCCTTGTCAGGGGCGCAGTGCGCGGGCGCAGTCGCTGCCCTCAAATTGGCAGCGGCCGCGCCGCAGTTGCGCAACGCGCCCGCCCGGGGCATTCGAGCCTTCAGGCAGGGCTGCGCAGACGAGGCCCTCCAACAGGGAGGGCCCGCATTATTGTTTCCAGCGGCGGCTGGAAGGGCTCGGCTGCTTTTGGCTATTCCAGCGCCCAAAGCCGGGGGCGATCGCGGCTGCTGAGCTGTTGGTGGATCATTCCGCCTCCAGCGGCGGCGAGCAGGACTGAGCGCGGAATCGCGCGCGGTGGGATGTAAAAAGCAAATGGCGGATCACGGCGTCACGCTCTCAGGCGCCGCGGCACAGAACGTCGCTTCGCGGCGCGCGCGGGGGCCAGGGCGAGGCCCAGGCGGCTCCGGCCAGGCAGCGCTTTCCCCGCGCCCCTTGCTGGCGCAAGGGCGTCGGCTTGGAGCTGCGCCGGAAACTCCGCAGCTCGAAGGGCCCCGGGCCTTCAGGCGCCATTCAGTGGAGCGGGCCAGGCCGTTGTGTTCCGGGGCGTCGCGCCTGGAAACCCAGTTCGGGCGTTTTGGCATCAGGTTGTGCGTCGCGCCGTTCGGCTTATCTCGTCCGCGAATCCGCGGGCCTCCCAGCGCCAGTGGCACGGCGGCGCAGCGGCGAGCCGCGTTCCTTGACCGCGGTCGTCTGCTGGGCCTGGCTTTCGGGCCGCAGGGCTTCTTGAGGGCAACGTCCGTTCGGCCGGGCTCCCTGTGAGGATTCGCGTGCAGGGCCATTGCTTTCTTGCGGGCGAACCCAGGGACCCTGCCTTCTCGCAGGCAAACCCAGGCCTTTGAGGCTCCGCTCTCGGGTCGCTGCCTTCTCGCGGGCACACCCAGGGCCCCTGCCTTTTCGCTGGCAAACCCGAGCCTCTGGGGCTCACTCTCGGGTCGCTGCCTTCTCGCGGGCTCTGCCAGGCTCCCTGTGAGGAGCCACGCGCAGGGCCACTGCCTTCTCTCAGAGCGTGAATTACCTACCCCGCTTTCGCTTCCAGGCAAAACCAAGGCATACCACGCGCCTCCTCGTCAAGCGGCCTGACCAGTACAGGCCGTAGTTTGGCATCGTTTGGTATCTCTTGGAAGCGAGGGTGGTCAAAAGCGAGGTAGGTTTGTTTTCCCCCCATTCTCGCGGGCAGACCCAGGGCCCCTGCCTTCTCGCGGGCAAACCCAAGCCTTTGGGGCTCCACCGAGGGTCCTCGCTTTTTCGTGGAGAACACAAGCCTCTGGAGTTTTTCACTCTCGGGTCGCCGCTGTTTCTCGCGGCCAAACCCGAGCCTTTCGGGCTCCCCACTCTCGGGTCGCTGCCTTCTCGCGGGCACACCCAGGTCCCTGCCTTCTCGCTGGATTTTTTCTCCACCCACGCCACCCTCGCGGCTATCGCCGGCGCCTTGTCCTGGCGGTGAGTCCCAGGACGAGTCCTGGAGGCTCCAGCCAGGCAGCGTTTTCTCCGCGCCCCTTGCTGGCGCAGCGCGCCGGCTTCGAGCCACGCGCGAAGCTCCACAGCTCGAAAGCAGAAGGGCCCTGGGCCTTCAGACGCGATCCCGTGGAGCGGGCCAGGCTTCCAAACGTGATTTTCTGTTGTGCCGCGCGGGGGCGTCCAGGATCGGGGCGTGCAAGAGGGGCCTCCTTCGGGGAAGGCGCCCCGCGCAGCCCCGCCCCGCCCCAGGGCGCGCCGCCGCCCGGCGCGTGGGCGCCGCCCGCCGCCGCCGCGGCGCCGCCGCCGCAGCAGCTCTCCAGCGGCACCCCTGGGGGAGGGATTGGGTATATTAGGAGGTCGGGGGGGGTTAGGAGGGGGAGGAGGAGGAAGACAAAGAGGACGAAGAGGAGGAATAATAGGAGTTGGAGGTGGAAGACAAAGAGGACGAGGAGGAGGAATAATAGGCGGACGAGGAGGAGGAGGAGGAGGAGGAGGAGGAGGAGGAGGAGGAAGAGAACGGGGAGTTGGAGGAGGAGGAGGAGGAATTGGAGGAATAATAATAGGAGGAGGAGGAGGAGGAGGAGGAAGAAGAGCAGGAAGAAGAGGCAGGGAGGGAGGGAGGGAGGGAGAAAAGGAGAGAGGGACAGCGGAGACGAGCACGGGGACGGGAGGGAGGGAGGGAGGCACAGAGGGAGGATCGCCATGGGGATGGCGAGTCGTGAAGGGAGCGGGTCTTGAGGTTTTTTTCTGTTTTCGGGCCTTCGGGGCCTTCAGGAGCCCAAGGACCGTCAGACAACGATGCAGGAGGAAGGAATGGTCCTGGAGGAAGGTCCAGGGACCAGTTTCCCTCAGGGCCCAGCTCCCCCATGTTAAGAGGAGATCCAGGAGAGACGGGGTAAGTTCATACGGAGTGCTCGGTCTGCATCTGGGCCCACTCCGTTTGGACTGAGCCGCTCCGTGCCCCACATGGCGGCCGAAGTAGTCTGTTCGATCGGACCCTAACCCTAACCTGCTCGGGAACGTCCAACAGGGAAGTCGTGGTTTGGGGTATCGTGTGCACCTCTGCTTGTATGTACATCGATGTGTCTTACAATGAGCGCTTTATTCGTATAATTATTAAGGTTCGTCGTTCGTACGCTTATGCATATTAATATGCGTGTGTGTCTTAGTGCTCGTAGTGTTTTTCTTATTCGTTTTTTATCATAACTATTACAACTGTCATATCATCAGCATTAGTATCTTTCGTTCAATGTTTATACTTACTATTCGTCTGTTTACTGCGCCCCGGGGCCACACTTCGTCCGCGTACCTGCTTCCAGTCATGATTTGCGAATTCCCTTATTGGACAACCCCTTCCTGGGCGCCCCCGAAACGCATGCTATATAATGGTGCAAACGTCTAGTGTGGTCGGAGGGTTGCGCCGCATCGCCGATACATCGGAGGTGCGGGTTGATGCGGAGCCCGATTTCCTCCACGCCGAATTCGCCGATGCGGTGCGACCCTCCGACCCCATCTATTCGGAACCCCATTTGGTGGGAGGCCCCTAAGACGAGGTGGTACTACTGGGTGCAGCTCGCTCACCGAGCGATTCTGCCACCCGTTGCGTTCCTTCGCGGTGATGGCTGTAAACGAGACGTATCCGCCACGTCGTGCTAACAGCGCGTTGTGTAGCATGTCCAGTACTCGGGCAGCTTCGCGCCCTACTTCAGTTTGAGTTTCAGTTTCAGTTTCAATGTGGTGGAGTTGAGCCAGGGTCTCAGGGCGGCTGGAGGGAGGAAGAGATAAGTCGACGTGGCGCGACCATTGTTGTTTTCATCAAGTGCGACCAAGCAGGCATCTCACGCGCGCACGTCGAAATCACATGAGGGCCCCCGCGCGCTTGCTGGAGGGGCACGAACCCTGTCTAATCTCAGGAGGGAAAGAAACACACAGACACAATTAATCGTCGATTCCCCCAAAAATATTGTAAAATATGGGAAGTGGGGGGGAAGACAAAAACCCAGAAAATATGGGAAACTATGGGGAATCCTTTCAATTGTGTGTATTTATTTGCGTGTCCTGGGGCCCCTTCACACTCCCTACGGGCCACCCGCGCCCGTCGGCCGCGCGCGCAGGTCGAAATCCTTCCAACACTTATCAATGACGCGTGGAAACCATCACCGCCACCGTCGAGATCACCATCGGCGCGGGCATTGGCCTTGCCGTCGTCACCGTCATCCTCGAGACCAGCATCGCTACTATCATCATCGTATCTGCCGCTGCCGACGTCGCAATGTTGCCGCGCCCGCCCGGGTCATCAACTCGCAATGAAACCCCGCGCGCCAGCGCGGCTTGCGAAAGGCGTTGGGCAATTCCCAGCGGTCAGCACCACCTCGGCCGCGTCGGCCGCGCCAGACTCGCTGGCCGCCCTGCGCGCGAGACTGTGCGCGCCAGCGCGGCCGCAGCGATGCGCCACCCAGTTCCAACGAGTCATCGCAGTACCACCAGTGCCCCACATAATCTGCACACTTTAGGCTGGTCGAAGCACACTGCTTGGGGCCCACGATGGCTGGCATCCTCGATGCTGGAATCTCTTTTCGTGACGTCGGATCTCAGGGAGTAGGAGGAGGAGGAGGAGAGGGAGTAGGGAGGAGAGAGGAGGAGGAGGAGGAGGAGGAGGATGAGGAGGAGGAGGAGGAGGAGGAGGAAGAGGAGGAGGAGGAGTAGGGAGAGGAGGAGGAGGAAGAGAGGAGGAGGAGGAGGAGGAGGAGGAGGGCCCCCTGTTGAAAACAGGTAGCCGAGACAACAGCAGTTGGCCTTTGGAGGGGAACCTTTTTTTATCGCCACGGCCAGAGGCCGCTCGGAGAAAACCCGTGCGCCGGAGCCCCACATGCGCACCTCGAGGCGCTGGCCTTCGCCTTTGGGGCGCGTGGGTCGGCTGCCCACTGCGCGACTTCTCGCCCTCTCCCTCCTCGCCATCGGCCTTCCTTCTCCGTTTCCGCCTCCTCTTTTCCTCTTCCTTGTCCTCCTCCTGTTCCTTTTCCTCCTCCTGCTCCTTTTCCTCCTCCTGCTCCTCCTTTTCCTCCTCCTCTCCTCCTCCTCCTCCTCCTCCTCCTCCTCCTCCTCCTCCTCCTCCTCCTCCTCCTCCTCCTCCTCCTCCTCCTCCTCCTCCCTCCTCCTCCTCCTCCCCCCCTCCTCCTCCTCCCTCCTCCTCCTCCTCCTCCTCCCCTCCTCCTCCTCCTCCTCCTCCTCCTTCCTCCTCCTCCTCTCGAGCGTTCCTCCTTCCTCTCGGCCGCCCCCCCTCCCCCTCGTAGTATCTCGTGCATTATGGCGAAGCTTGTAATACCCCGTACTGGTATCCAGAATTGGCACCACACCGCTACGACCGGAAGAGAGTAGGAAGGCACCGACGAGAGGGAGGACGAAGACGACAATGAGGAAGAGGATGGTAAAAGCGTTGACCGCGACGAAAGCTAGGAGGATTCCGCGTTGCCCTGAGATCCTCGCCAAGAGTCTTGGGAGGCTCCAAAAAACGATGAACACGCACGGCGAGCGCATCAACAATTTCAGATGTCCGCGCGGGTTTCTTGTGTCGGCGCTAGCACCCCTGGAGGCCCCCCCCTGCGCTGCCCTTGGGGGTCCAACGCCGACCACAGAAATCGACGCGGACGTCTGAGTGCTTCTGTTTATGCAGTTCTGTGTTCGTCCAGGTGTCCAACACGAGTCAGGGAAACATTAATTTCGAGTTCGCCCGATCTCGAGTTTGTCGACGGTTATTGACGGGCCCGTCCAGAAACCTGACGGTCCAGTTATCGTGGGCCGTTTGCACCGGGAGTTCGCGCCAATGTGCAGATTGGTCATGTTGATTGTAGTGGCCTCCGGCCAGTGCCGCCGATCCGGGGCGCTCCGCAAGATGATGATCAGGATGATGATGAAGATGATGATGACGAAGACGACGACGACGACGCGACGACAACGACGACGACGACGACGACGGGGGGGTAGCTGGGTTGCAGGGGGAGGGTCTGCTCTGCAGGGGGGGGTTCGCTCGGCAATGGGAGGGACTGCAGGGGAGAGGGCAGGGGAGGGGGTCTGCTCTGCAGGGGGAGTCCGCTCGGCAGAGGGAGGGACTGCAGGGGAGAGGGGTGGTCCGCTCTGAAGGAGGGGGGGGCTGCAGGAGAGGAAGTCTGCTCTGCAGGGGCGGGGGGGGGCAGGGGAGGGGGGAGCGTCCGCTCTGCAGGGGGAGGGCTGCAGGAGGGGGTCTGCTCTGCAGAGGGGGGGGAGCAGGGGAGGGGGGGGGATCCGCTCTGCAGGGGGGGGGGCTGCAGGGAGGAGGTCCGCTCTGCAGGGGGGGGCTGCTCTGCAGGGGGGGGGGGGGCGGAGGGAGGGGGGGGTTCGCTCTGCAGTGGGGCGGGGGGGCTACAGGGGCGAGGTCCGCTCTGCAGGGGGGGGTGGGGGGGGGGGCTGGGCTGCAGGAAGCGGGAGGGGGCGTTCTGCAGGGGATGGGGGGTTCCGCTCTGGGAGGGGGGGGGGGGCGAAGCACTGAATTAGATCGGAATTTGGTCGGAAATGAGGTCCCCCCCCCCGCAGAGCGAGGCTTGAGCGAGCTCAAGCCCACGCTCTCAGAAACTCACACGCCAGATCGGCGGGGGGGTGGTGCAGGGAGGGGGGGGTTCGCTCTGCAGTGTGGCGGGGGGACTGCAGGAGCGGGGTCCGCTCTGCAGGGGGGGGGGGGCTGGGCTGCAGGAAGGGGGAGGGGGCGTTATGCAGGGGATGGGGGGGTCCGCTCTGGGAGGGGGGGGGGGGGCGAAGCACTGACTTAGGCCGGAATTCGGTCGGAAATGAGGTCCCCCCCCCCGCAGAGCACTGAATTAGGTCGGAAATGAGGTCCCCCCCCCGCAGAGCGAGGCTTGAGCGAGCTCAAGCCCACGCTCTCAGAAACTCACACGCCGGATCGGCGGATTTTTCTGGCTTCCCCGTCAGGCCAACTCGAATCTTCCAATTTCGCAATTCCACGTATGCCAACAACGGTGTCCGTGGCCCAAGTTGTCCCCAGGATGTCCAGGAAGGCCCCCGCGGCAACGAGGGCAGTGGCCCCCCCTGGCGGCGCAGCGCCGTTCAGAAATCCACGCGGAGCCCCGAAACCTGCTATGTGTGCAGTCGTTCTGCCGGTCGGGCGCCGCCAGGGGCGTCCCTGGCCTGAGGTGTCCGCAGGCTGTCCAGGGAGGCCACCCTTCACGAGGCCCGAGGGGGGGCCAAAAGTATGCGACAAGCTGGGGACACCTAGGGCCAGGATCACCCCTGGCAGCCCCCGAAGGAAGCAAACGGGCCCTGAGGGGAACGGGTCCTGAGGCTATAAAAGAAGGCACTGGAAACGGCATGAACATCAATTGCTGGAGCTCCGCGCAGATGTTTGGTATAGTTTCCAGCCTGTCACACATCCACACATCCATGTCCCATGATTGGCATCACCTCATCTCGATGCCGATCTTAAGGACTCCCTGTTTCTGAGGCCACATCCCCGAGAGTGTCATCGCCTCTAGGCTTGTCAACCTTCGGGATGGGGTTTAGGTCGAGAACGGTCAGATCTGCGCTGGACACCCCTGGCGGCGCCTCCAGCGTCGTCCCTGGCGCGTTCCGCGCGCCAGAGGGGTCCTGAGGGAAACGAGTCCTGAGTGTTTGTCTTTTCTCGGGCTCCCGGGGACCTCCCCAGGCCCCGGGACCGTCAAAGAATTACGGTCAACCCGCATAGTAAGGATGAGCGACTGTCCAAGGGTACCATTGCATCCTTCCCCTTCGGTCCATCCTTGGCCGCTTTCGCTGGCCGCGCCCCGCCAGCAAAGGGTCGACGTGGCCGCCCAAGGCCCTTGTATCCCTATCGTGCGTCCTTATTGCACGGGTTGACTGTACTCAGGACGAAGAATTGGCATCCCGGCTGGTGCATTGGTTCATGCCCAATCTATGGATACCAGTGCTCGTCCTGGGAAGCCCTCTCATCTGGTCGGACGACAGAACAGGCGTCGGGAGGGAAAAAGGGTATCAATGACATACCGCTGTTGCCAGGCCGTCAGCGTCAAATGGGGGGCTACGACGCCTGCCGCATGCAGGTGGTTTCGGCCCCGGCGCCGCCGGGCGCATTCCTCTCTGCATTGGCGCTTCCCGCCGCCAGGGAAACCAGATGCGTGAGTTGATTCGAATGCAATGCAGCTGCTCCTGCTGTGCATGTCGTGCTTCTTGCTGTGACACGCCCCATGCCGCGCTGATTGATGATGCTCGTGTGTAATCTTGGGTTTGAGCTCCGATGGGCCTCCCCTTTTGGTACTTTTTGAGGCTTCCGGAGGGGAGGGCTGTTTGTGATTTCTTGTGTGTGTGTGTGTGTGAATTCAGAAATAATCCAGCACAGTCTCATGACACCGTGTTGGGTTCCGCTCGGCGTTTTTCTGACCCCCTCGCCTTCGGTCCATGCACTGTCTCTGCGGTGTCCTTCGGGCCGGACGAAAAGGGGGGATTGGGAAAGGGGGGGTTACGACATCTGCTGCATGCAGCAGGTTTCGGCCCCACCGAGGAGCCCATTCCTCGATACATAGCCGCCTCCGGCGCCGGGAGGCGCAAGGAAAATCAGCTGCGTGAGCTGATTCTCAAACCCCCCTTTGCTATCCCCCCCTTTCGCCCGGTCCGATTCCTCCTCTTCCTCGTTTTCTTCCTTTTCCTCCTTTTCCTCCTCCCCTCCCCGCTTCCCTCCTCTCCCTCCCCCCGGCGTGCCCGGGCCCAGCGCGTGCAACAGTGCACAATCGGCACGCACGCGCGCAGCCCTCGGAAGCCCTCGCGATCGCCCTGGTGCTGTCCGGCCGAAGCCCGAGGCTGCAGCTAAGTCGGGCCTGTCCCCCTACAGGGGGATTTTCGGCGAACAAAAAACAACTCAAAAAATATTCCAACATAGCGAAAAAATGTTCTATAAATAGTATGGTGATTATTTGTTGATGATTTTTTGACCCCTCTGGAGTCCTTTTTGAGTATTTTTTATTTTTCGTCGAAAATCCCCCTGTAGGGGGACACGCCCGACCTAAGGCTACAGCTAGGCCGTTTCACTTCGACTAGACGCAAGGGTGACCGTTCGCTGGAGTGACAGTTGGTGCGGGCCCATTGGGGTCCCCCGATCGCCGAGCGCGACGCGGCAGTAGCGTCTTGCGCGCTCGCTCTTGGCCCCCCCGCAGCCCCCCAAAAGCCGCGCACCAAAGATCACTCTTAACCCAGGGTCACTCTTGCGTGTGCCCGATCACTGCTGGCGACTGGCCGGGTTTATGGTTGGAGTGTTTGCTGGGTGTCAATAGCCCCCTTTTTCTTCCCCCCATCCCACCCCCTTTCGTCCGACCCGATCGTCGCCGCGGCTGAAATCTCGTCGAGATTCTAGCCAGAACGCACCTGAGGAGAGGTCCGTGGAGTACAGCCAAGACGCTGAAAGAAGGACCGCTTTGGGTTCGTAAGGGGTTCGTTGTTCCTTCGGTCATTCCGTGGTTGTTGCTATGTCCTTCCTCATGGACCCAGGCACTTCAGGTGCCAAAAATGGGCTTCGTTCCTCATTTAGCGTTCCTTATTTCGACAGCGCAGATGTAGCGGTGTCGGTGGCAACCATACAACTCCAGTCCGCTCCTCCTTCCCTGCAGAGGGGGCACAACAAGTCAGGGGAGGCGAGTGGGGAGAGGATCAAGGGACGCCAACTATACATCTACCACCGATCCTGGCCAGGCATACGCCCTCTCCGAGGGTAAACCAGCAGGGGGGAGGGAGGAGGAGGAGGGAGGTGGAGGGAGGAGGAAGGGGGAGGAGTCAGGGCCAAAAAGAAGGAGGAGGGGGGAAGGCAGGAAGGAAGGGATGAAGGAGGAGGAGAAGAAGGAGAAGTAATGAAGGAAAGATGGGAGGGAGGGAGGAGCACGAGGACGAGGAGAAGGATGAGGAGGATGGAGGGAGGACGACGACGAGGAAGAGGAGGAGGAGGAGGAGGAGGAGGAGGAGGAGGATAGGAGGAGGAAAGGAGGAGGAGGATAGGAGGAGGAGGAGGAGGAGGAGGAGGAGAGGAGGAGGAGAGGAGAGGAGGAGGAGGAGGGCTGAGGGGAGGAGGAGGAGGAAGAGGAGGAGGCGGAGGAGGAGGAGGAGGAGGAGGTCGGCAACGGCTGCAAAGGTGCCACTACATTCGCTTGCATGCAAACTGACCTCCAAGCGAGTTGCGGGTCAGGGTCGTTGGGGGGCGGCGCGCCTTGCCGACGGCGCTCACGCGCCCGAGCCCCGGGAGGCTCAGCCTGGTGGAGGAGGAGGAGGCGGAGGAGGAGAGGAGAGGAGGAGGAGGAGGAGAGGGGAGGAGGAGGTTGTGAGAGGAGGAGGAGGAGGAGGAGGAGGAGGAGAGGGAGGCGAGGAGGCGGAGGAGGAGGAGGAGGGGGGAGAAGGTGTGAGGAGGAGGAGGAGGAGGAGGAGGAGGAGGAGGAGGGGAGGGAGGGGGAGGGCTGGTAGGAGGAGGAGGGAGGAGGGGAGGATGGGGGGGAGGAGGGAGGATGAAGTGGACGTGCACGGATGCTCGACGACCCAGGCGGCTCCCGCGCGCCGTTGGGCGGCGCGGCCGCAGCGGATCTGCAGAGCGCGGCGGGCGCCCAGCGGGCGCCGCCGGGCGCCCTGCCCAGCCGAGGCCCCGCGGGCGGGCAGCGGTTTCGCAGCGACGATGGTGGCGACAGGGGTCCAGGAGGAGGAGGATGAGGAGGAGGAGAAGGAGGAGGAGGAGGAGGAGGGGACGGAGGAAGGAGGAAGGAGGAAGGAGGAAGGAGGAAGGAGGAAGGAGGAAGGAGGAGGAATGAAGGAGGAGGAGGAGGAGGAGGAGGAGGAGGAGGAGGAGGAGGAAGAGGAGGGGCAGAAGACGGCTCAGAACGAAAAGCTGGTCTTGAGGGAAAGCCCTGGTGTCCAGGACGCGTTTCCTTCAGCTTGGCATCGCTCGGACGTTTGCATTTTTCCTTCGGCGAGGATCATCGAGGAGCATCCTTGATCATTTGGCGACAAAGCCACGCACGAAATCTAAAAAAAGCACAGGGAATGGACGTCCGAGCGATGGCCAGGTGGGTGGGCGGGGTGATTGCCGCAGCTGCCGAGGGAGCGCGCCTCTGCATCTCGCTGCCATCGGGTGCCCCGCGCGCCTCGCTCGGGACCATCTCGGCTCTTCCTCGTCTCTCCGGAGGCCCCCTTAGGGCTGGCTCGGCGGCGCGTCGGGGCCGCCGCGGCCCCCGTCCAGGGGCCGTCCAGGGGAGCCTCTCGTGAGCCCCCGCGGCACTCGAGGGTCCCTGGGGCGCAGGATGGCCCAGCACAGATGTGCCTCAGCAGTGTCTAGGCCTCCCAGAGGGGGTCCGAGCAGATGGGGTCGGCGGTGCGGCTCGATGTGGGTCCCCGATGTTACCCACGCCGGCGTCGCCGATACATAGCCAGCGTCGCCGATGCATCGCCGATGCATTGGGAATTTGGCGCGATCCTCCGACCCCATCTCATCAGACCCCATGTGGGAGGCCTCTACAGTAAAGGGTGGCAATTGAAGACGTGCCCGTGGGGGGCGTCGTCACGCAGCAGCGCCCTGGGCGATGATTTATAGATTTGTCTCTGGCCCTGCTCTTGGGCGTTGTCGCCCTCATTGAGATTCCCAGCGGCAGGAACCGATGAGCTTCTCGCTATCGTCATCCCACACGGAGCTCCGTCCAGCAGCCCCAGAGCCCTCTGACAAGCTGCGGTGCACGTGCCCAGACATCCGACGATGCGTTTTCCCAGCATCTTGAGTGGGTTTCTTGATTTCCTAAACCACGCTCTCCTCCTCCCTTCTCCTTCTCCCTTCTCCCCCTCCTGCTCCTACCACTTCACCCTCCTTCTTCTCTTCCGTCTCATACAAGTTCTAATCCTATCATTACACCAGAGAAAATCCCCAATCAGTGGATGGTTTCGCTGAGAAGATTGACCAGGAACCCGGGAGCCCGGGAACCCAGAACCCACCGACATCGGCACGGAACCAATAATTGGGACCCCGGGAACCCGGAACCGGGAACCCGGGAACCCAGCTTGCTACCAAAATCGGAGGGAAGTTTTCGCCAAATTTTTCAATTTCCGCTAGGACCCTTTCAGTGCAAGAACTGATCGGGGAATTATCAGTTTTTCCCAACCATCCTGTGGTGTTGGCTCCTCGTTTTGAAGAGACGGTGGCCCGCGTCTCCTCTCATTCTCTCCTCCTCTTCCTTGCGTTTCACCCACCCAGTACAGCGTTTCGTGGCCCCATAGGGAGCTCCACCGAAGGCCCCCAGTGGCTGCGTTCGCATGGCGGCCTCGGGCCATTTCGGCACACCCCTCACGAGGATCGTGGCCCCATGGCTCCACCGAAGCCCCAGTGCTGCCGCATGGTCGCCACACCCCTCACGAGGATCGTGCCCCATCGGCCATGGCTTTGCTGGCGGCCTCGGGCCATTTCGGCACACCCTCAC